CCTTTTTATGCTAAGATTGACTATTCATCTGTCCCAATCGACATTCATATGCAATTTTTATGAACTTTTTACCTCCAAGAGTTTTGGCAATTATTGAAAATTCCTTCAAAAATGACATCTTCATGGCTCCACTTGTAATTTGGTGGAGAGGTGCTGATCTTGTTTTTTTTCACTCCATGAGGTAAATCCAATGTTGCCATTGCATTAGGAAGGCTTCTATTAATTAGAAAAGCCACCTTGTTGCTTGAATTTGTTGAATTAAGAAAAACACTTCAAATTGTCCTTGCTAATTTTTACTAGAATCCTTTTTAGAAGCTTATGATTTTAATTCACTCTAAATCATATGAAATGATTGTAAGTGAATTCATAGGCTATCAATCAATTTTTATAGTAATGACTATAATTTCTAAATCACTAAAACTAATTAACTTGTTATTCTAGTTTTCTAAAGTCTTTGATTTTGGTCCTAATTAATCCAATTTAAAGAATTAGATTAAGATTTGTACCATCAAACGTTATAACCCTCAAAATTCTACAAAACTAAATTTTACTTATATAAATTATGATCTAACTTGTTCAATTACTACAAAATACGAGAAAAAAATATAAAATTCAATCTTGGAACATAATCTAGAGCTCACAAACCACAATCTTAGTTGTATTATATAATAACCATTTTTTTTAGCAAATTAGCCTATATATAAGATGATTCTTACTTAAATAGAGATATGCTACTATATTTTAATTTAATTTAATTTATTTTCAAAATTTGATGTCTATAAATAATATTATATTAAGTAATTTTAACTTATGAAAAGTATGTTAGGGCCAACTTTGGCACTATAGAGATGGATAAGACAAATAAAAATACTACCACATAATTTCAAAATAAAAACTTATTGAGAGATTTAAACAAAGAACAAGATATGATTGATATTGTCAAAACAATTGATCATACTTGACCAAATTTATATCAAACTACTTTCTTCTTTTGAATTCTTTTAGAAATTGAATATATTTATTTTTATGTATTATACCATAAAAAATTGCCAAAGATCAAGAACTTCTAAAAAAAATATAAAAAATATATTGCAATACTATGATTTTTTTTATAAACAATGAAGCAAAAAATATTAGATTCAAAGATTAAAAAAATATCAAATAAATAATATAAATATTTTTTTTAAAAAATATCTTGATTGAAGCTATTTTTATTTAGAAATTTTTATGAATTTTTAGAGAAAATTTCAAGACTTTGGTAAAATTGAGTTTTATCACCTTGAGAGCCATTATGAAGAAATGAAGCAAGATTTGAAGACTTTGCAAGGTCTCTAGGCCAATTGGGTGTTTTTGAATACCATGGTGAAGTCAAAAATGCAAAAAAAGTAGTTTTACTAGTAGAAAATAGGAGGACCAGCAGCTAGTGTAGTCCTTGTAGGAAGAGAGGTGCACAATTCCCATATGGATTGTAGCACCTTAGGTATAGGTAGGAAGATAAGACTAAGGCCTTAAGGCCTCTTGAGGGAGGAATGTACACTACTTGTAAGCCTTGGTGAGGCTCGAACTCCTGATTTCTTAAGTAAGTTATCCTTGAGGTAAAAATTATTCACTTAACTTTGTTATTATTTATATTCTATCTTTAATCTATCATAACTTACTCACACTAACTTGGAATTACATGATTTTTATATCATTGGAAAAAAAAAAAAAAAAAATTATCTATCTAAAAATATATTTTTTACTTTTTATTTTTACTTTTTATTAGGTGAAAATCCAGTGAACGGACTGTGACTTCATTTTGGATGTTGTGATTACTTGATTTCATCTCTTTTACTTGTATTGTGGTTGTTCCTCTTTGGTCTTTTGCCAATTGCTTACTTCACTTCACACCACCAATTACAAGCCAAATAAAAGATAACATTAAAGTTTTAACATCTTTTATTTATAAATATAGATTAAAAATTTACGGATTTTTTTGGCCATCATAAGTTCTTTTCTATTACAAAATTATCTTAGAAGAATCTTTCAAAATTCTTAGCCACCATGAATACTATTTCTCATGTAAATCTTAATTAATACTAGTCCTAATTGCCACAAACTTTGAATACATTTTGGCCATAAGAAACTTTTTTGTAAAAATTTCTAAATATTGATTAAATTAAAATCTTCATCATTAATACACTATTAATATTTTATTTAATTAAAAATTTAGTATGGATATTTTTTATTTAAAAAAATATATATATCATATCTTTATGATTTAAAAAAATAATATTTTTACAAATAAAAATTTTATTTTTAAACTTATATACAAAAGGTCATGAATATTTGACATAAATAATCATTGCCTTTAACCTTTAAGATCTATAATTGCAAAGATGTATACTATTTACTATAAAATAAAATTAGGAGAATTTTCTAATTTCTTCTTATTGATGTCAATATTTAAATTATATTTATAAATTAAATTATATATATATATATATTAAAAAAATAAATAAAATATCTTGCCAATCATTATATTAAAATAAAATAAAAACAAAAAAATCTAATAGCATATTATTTATTGATTCAAAATAGTCATATTCTTAATTTAAAATTTTGGTATTAAAAATTCTAATTTAAAAATAATAATAATCAATAAGATTTTTTAAAAAATTAATATAAATAATAATAAATAATAAATTTAATGTATCATTAAAAGAATATAAATGTCTTTTAATACTTCTTTCATTGATTTCTTTTTTTTATCTCAAAATGTAACAAATATTTTGGGACTAAATTATTTAAAAGAAAAAATTTAAAGTTTCTAACTTTATTATAATTTAGGAAGTTTTTTTTAAAATTTTACTATTATAAAAATTTCAAAAGTATTTTTTATATATTTAATAATCTTTCTAATAATAAAATTATTTTTTTTCAAACTATATGATCTAATTTTTTTAAATAATTTTAATCTTTGATTTTTTTTTTAAATAAATTAGTTGAATTAGGTTTCTTATAACTTTAATATTAACCAATCACAAGACAATTAATTATCTGAAAGGAACTAAAAGCTTTTGAAAATATTTTTAGATTTTTAATTATTTCCATTAACTATTATTCTATTATTATAATACATATTAATACTAAATCAAGATAGTATTTAGGTTTTTTTATAATATTTTTAAAATTCTTTGAACACAATTCAAATTTCGTTTAATCTTTTGATTTATTTTTGAACCTTCGTAAAATACATGTTTAGAATTTCTTTTTATTCTTGCTACCTAATGTAGAATTATTATAAAGAAATATAATATAATATATTTTTGCTAAGTTTTATTTTATTTTTGAAGTATAAATTAAATAATTCTATATCAAATATCAAATTATTCATCAAATTATAATACATTGATTCATTTAACAAATTTTATCTCCAATCTAATTATAAAAGATCATATTATTTTTTTTAAAATTATCTATTTAGCACCAATCAATCTTTTTTTAGTTTTTTATACATGTAGATATTTTGGTAATCCCCCAAAGTTTCTTATTAGTTTTTTTAAAAGTATAAAATATTTTATTACCACTAATCCTCTTGTTCTTTACTCATCTACTCTCAAACAACTATTGAGCAACTATAAGATTAAAAAAAGGAAATTTTTCAATTGTATCCCTAAAATATTTAGAAATATCAAGAACACTCTTGTATTCTTGATAATTACACATGTACCCCTGAGTTTTCTTATAGTATAATACATTGTTGAAATCATAAAAATATCCCTGGATTTGATATGTTATCAAAAAACTCTTGTTTTAGCCTATTTTGGGGCCCAATTCAAGTGCCGCAAAATATGCGGCGTGGTACTTCCAAGGATAGAATCCACATCCCTCCGCTACTGGCATCACACCTCTTTGTTGATTTTAAACATTGAGGAGGGGCATGAGGAGGCCTTCACACTGACCATGCTTAGGGTTTCATGAAAGATCCCAATTGCAACTTGTAGTCACTACACTGAGACAGGCATCATCTAATTGTGAGCTCTCATTGCAGCTTGCAGTCACTGCATTGAAATTACAATATTCTAGATCTCATTTTAAGCTTGAATTGAACTTATTGAACAAACACAACACATGCTTGCAGCACCCATCTAGTTCAAACAAAACCGGTGGTACTGTTGACTTCAGGTGAAGCTATATACAATTGTTTGCATTCTATTTTTTTGACAATCTCCTGAGACATGCACACATGAAATACACCCTGGTGTTTCTTTTTGACTAAATGTGTCAAGTGAACTAGCTAGGATTGAATCCTCTGAGGAATACTAAAGCACGCCAATGTAGATCTTCACACCAAGCTTAAGTCTGATGTAGCAACTGCTACTTCATGGATGAATCGACCTTGACAACGGGGAGGACAATCTTTTTGGTGCTTTCTTATGGAAGAATATGGAGACAAACTAGTGATTTTCATTTTTATTTTTTATGTTTTATTAGTATTTTGTCCCTCTTAGCAGCAACTGGGATTTCATTCTCATTTTAAAGAACTTAATCAGTGAGAGAGGATGCCTTTACTAAGCCACTGGTAATACTTGATGGGTACATCATTTGATGGAGTCATGAATCGGCGTTGAGATAAAGTAGTACTGAATGGCTCCACGTCACAAACATAAGGCACCAAGATATGGAATCATGGAGAGACACTTGATCAAGGAAAAATCGGAGATGAATGATTTGTTGCGTGCTACACGGACGTAGTGAAAACCTTACATGAAAACAATGAGCGTGGATCCAATACTCACTACTGGTAATTCAGCAAGCATCACTGTGCCAGATGGACAACTGGTTGGATATAGAAGATCAGGAGCTGGACCGATTGGATCACACAAGGCAAATTATGAGAATTGCATACACCAATGGCGAGTTTGTCACTAACGCTTGAACAAAGGTGATTGGCTTTGACTATCAACCGGAGAGTTAGGGCTTAGAGCAGGAATAAAAAGGCTTCTTCTTTCTATATATTCAGCCTCTCCTTTTCCTACCATCTTTGGTGCATCTCATTCTCCTTTCAACATCTACTGTGCGTGCTTGGAGTCATGCGACGTGCTTGAAGACATGCGATGTGTGTGTGGGTTGATCGGAGGGAGCTTGATTAAGAATAGAGTGAGTTTTTCAATTTTTGTTTGTTTTCTGTTCTTTGTGGTATCGTACTTGAAACTATTTTTGAATGTTGTGCAGTTGTGTGCGCTATTCTTTTATTGACCAATTGCAAGATCTCCTAATAGAATATGCCCAAATGATTGTTCTGTTTTTATTCAAATTTGCGAGTTTGGTTCACTTTTACGTCTGAGAGGAGCATCGGAATTTTAAAAGGAACTGTTCAGTGTATACAAGAGTTCCAGTTTGTAATAAAGATGATTATATTTGTGTTATATTGGGCAATGGAGGTTATTTGTGAGAGGGGAGATTTAAGTATTAAACATTGTGCTTATTGTAATTGTTTTGTTGCGGATTCTGCTCTTTTGACTTTTTTATTTTGTTCCGTGAACTGTTTTTGTTAATGTGTGGGTATACACGTGTCACACAATTCTTGCATCATTCGATTGCGGCATGTTTCGTGAATTGTTCGCTCAGGCCTTCATTCCTGCGTGATTTATATTTCCTTCATGATTCTTTTGCCTTTCGTTTCTAATTGTGAACAAAACACGCTATTTAGTTTTTGAAAGCACTTTCTTTGATTTCATTTGCAAAGGTTTGACAAAAACGGGGTCGTCTTGGAGATGTGGGTATTGCAGATCAGCCGCAAAGCCATCGGTGCCGTCTCTTCACACATTTGTGCTCCCAACTATATCGCCCCAACTTGAAGTCATGGCACAGAACTCCCAATGTTGGTGAGTCTGCATCTTCTTCCTACCCCAATCTATTTTGTACCCCAACCCATTCTGCAGCAGCTCCTAGTTGCTAAATTCTGTTCACCGGCTCCTGCAAGTTTGTTGAGGTTTGTAATACTGAACACCCCTCCGAGTAGCACCTGTTATCAATTCCACATCAGGTTAACACATATCCAGAACCTTGCTTTGTAGCAACTTCGATGACCAATTGTCAAGTTCATTTACATGTTTGCTAGCAGTATGTCCATGCCTTGGCACTGTCTGCTTGCAAATTCCTTTCAACGAATTATGTCAAATTTTAAGTTGAACTGGAGGAGAATAACTTCTAAACATCCTTCATACACTTGTAATTTATATTTTTGGGCTAACATAGCAAGATTGTGACCTTATGTTCACTTTGTTGCAGATAAAACACTTATAGCCAAACCAGCCAATTTGGCATTAAAGCAGCATCATGGAATTATATGCTCCAGAGTCTCTATTGACATATATCATCAATCGACACATTCATATTGAAAAGGTATGTCTTTTGTTAACAAAAAATTTTAATTCAAAATGACAAATGCTATTGACATATATCATCAATAGACACATTCATATTGAAAAGGTTTGTCTTTTGATAACAAAAATTTTTAATTAAAAATGACAAATGCCCTTATTGTAGGTATTACATTCAATAGTAGTAAAAAATTGAAGGAAGCTATTGCTCTAGCAAGTATTACAAAACAATCAATATCAAATCTGACTAAATAAGGTATATTGTGAAGTGTTGCAACTACAATTGTAAATGGAGATTGCATGAATAATAATCTCAATTTGCATCTTCAAATGAATTTGTGATTAGTACATTTGTCTTTAAGTATACATAGATTGATATTAAGCACATGAGTAATTAACATGCCAATTGGATAGCAAGCAATGTGAAGAACAAATTGGAAACACATCATAACATAGAGTTGTAGATATTTGAAAGATATTTGACATACTACAAGTATTTTGGTATATTATTTGATGTCACAAATATATTATATACAAGTTCTAACAAGAAGTTGAATTGAAAAGTTTCAACAAGAAAATGAGCAAAAACATGATTAAATCATATGATTATAAGAGAGGTGGATGTTGCAAACATTCAGCAAGAAGATTCTTAAAATATTTTTTAAATATTCTATTGTGTTCTAAAATATTTTTAGTATATTTCAACAAATTCTAAGAAGTTCTAAGAAGATTAAAGAAGTTATTCAAGAAGTTTTTCAAAGTTGCTTCATCTTCAATCAACATAAAAACTTCCTGAGAAGTTTCTTAATATCTAATATATATTAGAGTTGAGACTCAAAAAATCCTCAGTCTCAAAAAAATATCTCTTGGAGCTTTAGCTTGTCTCTCTTGGTGTTGATCTTGTACTCATTATATTTAATCAAGTTTTTATTAGTTTTTTTGTTATAACTCTTTTGCTCAACTTCTTATTTGGTTGCCTGTAAAGTGTATCCAAGATAGTTTGCCAAGATTGTTTTTTTATTAATACTAGAATTTGATCCTTCTTGATAGAGAGTAAATTACTCCTCTTCTTGAAGGTATCTAAGCGCTTAAAGATTGCGTAGTACCTTTTTCTAAATTGGTATTATTTAGAAATTTATTTTTTATTTATTATTTTAGGATGGTTAGAGATAAAGATATTAGTATAGTTAAGTCTCTCAAATCTAAGTTAGATGTTATTATGAATATATTGAATGCTTTAGCTTGTAGAATTATTGAAATTGAAAAAAAATTTGCAAGATTTTATAGTGATGCAAGACCTAGAGTAAGTTAGCCTATGATGCAACTACTTTCTCAAGCTTCTACATCCAAGGAGGTAGTAGTACCTATAATTTAACAAAAAAAATCATCTATTCAAAAAATAAGAAGCCTCAAATTAGTCTTCTATAAATGTTTGATTATACATACTCAAAGTTTCAAAGATTTATTAATCAAATTTGATTAGTAATTTTTCTACAATCTGAGTGCTATTCAGCAAAGGAGTTTTAAGTTGGTTTAGTTGGAATCTTGCTCACAAGATGAGCGTTATCTTAGTTTGCTCTTTTATTTGAAAAAAGATTTCTAACTTTGAGCAACTTTAAAACTTTTTTAGAAGCATTAATGGAGGCATTTGGAAAACATGATAAGGCTGAATGAACAATAATAAAGATTTATTCATTACGTCAAAGATCACGCTTTACTTCAATTTATGCATCCAATTTTAGATAATTGGCTTATAACATCAATTAGTATTAACAAGCACTTATGAGTCAATTCTATTAGAGACTAAAGAATCATGTAGAAGATCTATTATTATCATTACTTGATCTTCAAATACTCAATGAAGCTATCAATCAAGCTGTGAAGTACAATAATCAATTATTTCAATGCCGTCAAGATCAACACTCATAGACTTTGACAAAACAATGACTAAAAATTTGTACTTTACTGCTTCTACAAATATATTACTTCTACATTTCAAAGATGAGAATATAAAAATTAATATGATATGGTTTAAACTTTTTAAAATAAAAAAGAAGAATTGTCAATCTAAATAAGACTAATGCTTGAATTATGGTGAAAAAGGCCACAAATCTATAAACTGTATAAAGAAACAACATACAATTAAGACTAAAAGTATGATTCTTAAAGAAATTGAAGAGGCCCAACTACAATAAAGTTTGTATAGTTGAATATTCTAATACCTCAAATTCATTAAGGTTCCTCTTTCTTTGCCCAACTTGCTTGTTTTTTTATTATACCTTTATTTTTTAGTCTATAAAAACTTCAAAGAAATACCTTATTAGATTCAAGATTATTTTCTTATTTTTTACACGAAAATTTTTTTAAACTTCATAAAATTCTTTTAGTACAGAAGTCAAAAACTATATATGTAGAAATAATAGATAGTCGACTTTTATCTTCAAGTAATGTTATTCATAAAATCATACCACTAAAAATATGATTTAAAGGCCATAGTAGTAAAATAGTATTTAATATTATTAAAATTCCATCTAATTCTATCATTCTAAGACTTTCATGATTAAAAAGATATAATCCATCTATAGATTGGAGATTTTATAAGAGTAAATTTTCTATAGAATTCTTTTGAATAAAATCTATCAAAAAATCATCAACAATAAAGTTTTATTTACTAAAAATAAGAACTTTTGTAAAGAAGACTAAGAAAGAAATATCATTTGTTATTTATATAACTCCAACTTGTGAAGAAGTAAGCTTACTAGTAGCTATTGCAAAGCAGTATACAGAGTTTCAAGATGTCTTTAAAAAAATAAAAAAATAAAAAAAAAATAAACAAACAAATAAACAAACAAACAAATGTTGACATATTACTAAAACATTGATCATATGATTGTGCCATTGATCTTTAAGAAGAGGCTCAACCACCATTTGGACCAATCTACAGTCTATTATAAAACAATCTTTTCATATTGAAAGATTATATCTACAAAAATATTGCAAAGAATTTTATTTGGCATTCCAAATCTCTAGTAAGTATACCAATACTTTTTGTGAAGAAAAAAGATGGATCTTTATAAATTTATGTTGATTATTTGCTAGTTTTTATTGAATATTTATCAAGAGTTACTTCCAAATTATTATTCTTCTCACTTCGTTGACATCCAAAGATAGATTGGAATGAAGACCTCAAACACAAAAGGCTTTTTAAGATTTGAAGAGAAAATTTACAATAGCTCCAATCTTATTACATCTAAATTTTATGAAGGCTTTTTATTTGGAAACTAATGCTTTTGAATTTGTATTAGAAACTATACTATCACAGATTGAAAAAGATAGAAAGCTCTATTTAATTAAATTTTATTCTAAAAAGTTTTGAGTAATAGAAATTAATTATGAAATTCATAATAAAGAGCTTCTTACAATTATAGATTATTTCTAAGAATGATATCACTTATTGGAAGGTACTATATATATTATAATTATATATACAAATCACAAAAATTTAGAATATTTCATGTCAACTTGGATTTTGAATTATCTCCAAGCTCATTAGAATATAACATTATTTTTTTTTAATTTTATGATTATATATTAATCAAAAAAATAGCAAGGACTATCAAATGCTTTATCAAAGAAATCATATCTTATTCCAAAGGTTGGAGAAGTAGTATTTGATTAGTAATATATCACTTTCTTAAAGTCAAAACAATTTTGACTTTGTACTACTTCTATGATTATATTTGTTAATTCAAGTTTCTTTGAATAAATTTTTATAGTATTAATTAAGGACTCATTAGTTTGTAATATCAAATAAAGCCCTAATAACAATAATGTCAAGTTTATAAAAAAATATTTTATATTTTAAAGATCATTTATATATTCCAAAAGGACCGATGTGACTTTGTATTCTTCAATCTTGTCATAATTTTCTATTTGTACCACATTTTAGATTTAAAAAAATATTAGAGATTATTTCTCAAGATTTCTTCTGGCTTCAAATATGAAAGATCGTGAAGGACTTTCTCTTCTTGTGTGAAATTTATTCAAGATCAAAAAAATTTCAACATCATCTTTATGAACTTCTACAACCACTACCAACTTTGAAGTAATCATGATCTTTAATATCAATAGATTTTATCATTGATTTGCCACCATCAATTATGTTTGATGTTATTTATGTTATTGTAGATTAACTTATAAAGATGGCAAATTTTTTCCTATGAAAAAAGATAATTTTAAGAAAAGAAATAATATGAATGTTTCTTAATAATATATATTGATATCATACCTATGTAATGACATCATTTTTTATTGAAGACCTCAATTTATGCCAAATTTTTCAAAATCTTTTTTTGAAATATTGAAGGTGGATACCAAACTTTTCTTTGCCTTCCATCCTCAAATCAATAGTCAAACAAAACAAGTCAATTAAGTATTAGAGCAATATTTGCAATATATCAATAACTATTAACAAGATGATTAGACCTTGTATTTATCTTTAATAAAGTTTTCTTATAATAATATTCATTATGCTTCAACTCAATAAACACCATTTTATACCAATTATGGTTACTATCTAAAGCTTAATTTATTAAGTACATCAAAAGATGAAAATCTAATAGTTGAAGTTCTTGCAAAATAATTGCCACAATTTCAAACAACTTTGAAGTTCTATTTAAAAAGAGCTCAAGATTCTTATAAAGAATCTTCAAAAGAATTTAAAATAAAAATAATAAATAAATAAATAAATCATATTTTTTAAATTGAAGATAAAATATGGCTTCTTTGACAAAATATCAAGACCAATCGGCCTTGCAATAAGTTAGACTATCAAAGATTAGGACCATTTTGTATTCAAAAGCAAATCAACCCAATGGCTCATTGGTTGAAACTATCCACATCTATAAAGGTATATCCAATCTTTCATATTACTCTCTTAGAAGCTTATTTAGAATCAACTATTTCATGAAGAATACAACCATCAATGCCTTGTATTGAAATAAATAATCATATAGAATATGATGTAGAAAAGATTTTTAATTCTTGACAGAGAAAAAGTAAGTTGTAGTATTTTATTCATTGACATGGCTACAATATCAATAAACATATATAGAAAGTAGAAAAAAATCTACTTGATGTGATATAAAAAATACATGAATTTCATTGATACTATCTTCAAAAATCTAAATCTATTTTAAAATTACTTTTCTATGAAGCTACGACTAAGATATTATATGTAATAAAATAAAGCAGATATAAAATCAATACTCCTCATGAAACTCAAAGTTAAAAAGAGAGGTGATATTACAAACATTTTGTCATTGACATACAACTAAAGAAAGTTTGAGAAGATTCTAGGAGATTCTAAAAGGTTCTAAGAAGGTTCTTATAGATCTTAGAAGGTTCCAAAAAGTTCTAATAGATTCTAAGAAAGTTTTAGAATGTCATAGGAGATCCTAGAAGATTTTAGGAAGCTTTAGATGATTTAGGAAGTTGCCAAAGAAGGATCTTAGGCTTGCTTTGTTTCCAAGCTTCATAAAAACTTCTTAAGAAGCTTCCTAGGACCTAGTATATATAGAAGTCTAGGTTGAGGGGATCCGTTGTTTTGACAATTCACTTCTCATGGCCTAGCCAAGACCTTCTTGCTTGAATCCAATTATTGTTCTAATATCGAGCTAACTCCATTTCTTCATCTTAAATCCTTGTCTTGTATATGGTTTCTAATAGTTTTTCAAGACTGTCTTAAAATAATATTAGAAGCTTCATCTTTCTTGATAGAGAGGTAATTATTCCTCTTTTTAGAAGTACTATAGCATTTTAGAGGTTGAAGATTATCCTCTTGTAGATTATTATTATTTTTTTTATTATTCTTTTGATTTATTTTATACCATAGATTAGGTTTTTTTTTCCTTTGAATGCATGTGTTTCTCTAATTTTTTATGGCAGAAGGTAAAAAAGTCAATATGACAAACTCCAAAGATATCAAGTTAGATTCTATTATTAATGCTCTTGAAGCATTGAATATCAGAATAGAGACTTTGTCAAAGTAGAATAAAGAACTATATATGTTCATATATAATGGTCAAGGAGCTGAAGTATCCCAACTACTATATCAAATGGTAATAGAGGTTCCAAATTTTCAAATGACTATATTTGTTTCAACAAACATGTGAGGTGCATCCACTCAAGGCAATGATTTGACAAAAACAATAGCAAAAAAATCAAGGATCAATCTTTCAAAAAAGTTCAATTGCACCCACTTAAAATTTCATGGCTTTGTAAACCAAGTCAACTAATCACCTTGCTTCAACATCAGTAATATTCTACTGAA